AGGTCTGTAGTAGACTCCCACCGTTGTGTCCTCTGTGCCATGTTTCCCACGTAGAACATAATAAGCAGAAAGACCATGAAAGAATTGGTGTGCCTGCTGGATTGCTTAGGTTTAACAAATGAGTAAAGAAGATAATGCTGGTACTAATTTACTAAATTTTTGTATGAGTTTTCAACGTAGAAGATGTTAATTAAAATATCCACCCCAGAACTGCTCTTCTCAGGCCATAAAGATGAGGCTAACAGAATGTGAGGTGTCAAAAGAGGTGTTGGAGCAAACGGACAGCTTAAGTCATGAGGCCCAAATGATATACATCAAAGAGTTCTGAAGGACTTGATGAACTGGCTGAGCTACTACCAAAACCCAAGCAATTTCTCATTTAAAAAAGGCTGTAGTACAAGATAATTTCAGGGAGCACATACTAGGTCTGTGTTTTGAAAAAGACTGTAGGTGTGATTTGAGGTCTAGCTTGATCATTAAAAATAGAATTAAAAAAACACCTGCAACAATGCGCTATGACATGATCTACTGGCATAGCTTCTGCAAAAGAAAATAGTGTCACTAATCTAAAATTATCTAAGGTCTCAATTAGGGCAGTAGATTTTAAAAAATGGCTGAAATAAATTGTTTAGGCTCTGGACAAACATACCTTTTCACCCTTTTAAAAGGAGAGGGTAGTGGCTGGTTGGGAATATGTCTCAGTTGTTATTACATGTGCATGTTCCTGTAGCAGTGCAAGTTAGCTAACTGACTGAAACTTTAACCCTGAATGAAATAGTTAAAGGTGCAATTGCAATAGTTTTGCTACTCTAGCATCACTAAGAAGCATGCAGATGTAATAGTGACATCATAACAGCAAATACTGGTATCTATTAATATTGATACACTTGTTACATCTCTCTATACCCTTAGACCTTCAAAAGGTCTGACAAAAGTCTCTTATCACATGCAGTAGTATTGTACTTACTAGCATACCACACACAACATTTTCCCAATAATCGGCCATCCAAATTTCCCATTCTGCCTTTCCAAACAAGGTGCGTTTCTTATTTAAGTGTGTATGGTATTTGAGAAAATGCAGTAGTTGGATAAGAGGCATTCTGGATCAAGAACTGGTTCATAATTGTGAAACAAAGAATAAGAAAAAATTATGGTTGCAGAAGTTAAAGGGTACATCTTCACGAGTTGCAGTAGACCCACCATTACTTAAAATATTTAATAATGATCTCATTGATTATTCAGTGAGCCACATTTGTGTGTGAGCAAAGTTACTTAGTTTATAATGGGCCCATCTACATGATATGCTAACTGCATAGTAGCCTAATTATACTACACATGAGTGCATCACAGCACAAACTGTACTAATATGCACTGCTTAGCATTATTAGGCTACTGCAAAGTAGCATCACTAAAAAGGCATTTGCCAGCACTACTGCTCAGTAACTCCAGTTACTGCACATTTATTTAGTATTTGGTTATACAAGTACTAAATTAAATGTGCAGTAACCACTGTGCATTAACAAATGTGTAAACACACCTACTGAGATACTTCACAGAGAACTAAGAAGCTATCTGAATTGGAAGCACTATGGCAAATGAATACAACATAAGGCATGTTGAAGGGTAACTATTCAACTACTCAAGCATTACAATGGATTTTATGTTCACACCGTCTCAGAAATGGGACCCAGGTATCAGCGTAGACAGCTTAATTAAGGCAGCTTCTCAATGTACACTTGTGGTATAAAAATCAAATAAGACGTTATAATGCCTACAGAAGAGGATGAAGAAACATTTTAAAATATGTTGTCATTATATAGAGCAGTGATTCTCAACTTCTTTAGACTCAAGGTACTCCTTAGAAAATGCCAGCTCTTAACTTTAGCTCATTGTTGACTATGGAAAAACAATAGAACAATTCTTATTTCTTCTGTTTGCAAACAACACAGAAAGATCACAATGGGCCAGACCTTGGACTAGGCCAGAAATGTTTTGACGCTATGGATTCCTGTTTTAAATCCCTGGGTTTACCTTGTGAATCATGTGTAGGTCTTTGCACACCTAAAAGTGCTAATATTGAGCAGCACCCCATGAAACCCTTAAAAGGATCTCACGGCACCCTTGTTAAGAGTCATTGATACAGAACTGGGTGCTGAACTAGATGAACTAGGGTTCTGATTCATTATGGTAATTCTTATATCCTTATGGGCATAGTGAGTTTTGGGAAAGTTTAATAAGTTGTCTTTTCAAGCTGTGTATTTATACCTTGATGATCAATATGTTGTTCCCTATTGGTAAAATCACTATTCATATTCAGCCTAGCATTATTCTCACTGAAGTCAATGCAAGTTACAGTAATGGGATCATAGCAAAGTAGAACTGAAAGGAAACTTGGGAAATCAGTTACTCCAAATCCTTATTTAAATCGGGATCATCAGTGTCTAAAACCATCGTAGACAACTGTTTCTTTAATCTGCTCTTAAAACCTTCCAAGAATGGAGATTCCACAACCCCCTCTATAGGTAATCTGTTTCAATACTTACTCACTTTCATAGTTAAAAGTCTTTTTTAATATCCAACCTAAAATTCCCTTGTTGCAATTTAGGACCATTATTCCTTACCCTGTCCCTGATGACCACAGAGAATAGTTTATTACCATCATCTTTATATAACCATCTTTTGTGTATTTGAAAACTTTTATCCAGTGCCCCCTCGCTTTTCCCTTCTCTGGACTAAATAATCCCAGTTCTTCTAGCCTTTCCTCATAAAACATATTTCCCTGAACTCCTATAATTTCTGTTGCTTTTTGCTAGGCTCTTTCTAATTTGACCTCATCTTTCCTGAAGTGCAATGCCCCAAACTGGACATAGGACTCCAGGTGTGGCATCACCAGTGGTAGAAAAAGAGTGGAAGAATCACCTCCTTTAACTTGTAAGGGATTCTTCTCTTAATACGGCCCAGTATGCTATTGGCTTTGTTTGCAACAACAGCACACTATTGGCTTATATTCAGATAATTGAAAATGAATCATAGAAAATGAAGTTTGGAAGGGACCCCGAGAGGTCATCTAGTCCAACCCCCTGCTCAAAGCAGGACCATCCTGAAATAGATCATCCCAGGCCAAGCTTTGTCTAGCTGCGTCTTACAAACCTCCAAGGATGGAGAATCCACAAGCTCTCCAGGTAACCTGTTCCAGTGTTTTACTACCCAGCTAGTGTGAAAATTCTTCCTAATATCTAACCTAAACTTCCCTTGCTGCAATTTGAGACCATTGCTCCTTGTTCTGTCATCTGCCACCACTGAGAATAGTCTAGCTCCATCCTCTTTTGCATTCCCTTTGAGGTAGTTGAAGGCTGCTATTAAATCCCCCCTCAGTTTTCTCTTTTCTGGAGTAAATAAGCCTAGTTCCTTCAGCCTGTCTGCTTAAGTCATGTCTCCCAGCCCTTGCACCATTTTAGTTGCCCTTTGCTAGACCGTCTCCAATTTCTCTACATCCATTCTGTCCCGGGGGGCCCAAAACGGGACACAGTTCTCCAGATGTGGCCTCACCAGTGCTGAATAGAGTGAGAATAATCACTTCCCTGGACCTACTGGCAACACACCTACCAATGTAGCCCAATATGCTGTTAGCCTTGTATGCAACAAGGGCATACTGCTGGCTCATATTCAGCTTATTGTTCACTGTAACCCCCAGGTCTTTTTCTGCAGAACTGCTGCCCAGCCAGTCAGCCCCCAGCCCATACCAGTGCATGAGATTGTATTATCTTAAGTGCAGAACTTTGCACTTGTCCTTGTTGAGCCTCACGAGATTCCTTTTGGTCCAATCCTCCAGTTTGTCCAGGTCCTTATTCTCCAGCGTATCTACTACTCCCCGCAACTTGGAGTCATCTGCAGACTTGCTGAGGGTGCACTTTAAGCCATCTTCCAGGTTATTGATGAAGACATTGAACAAAGCTGGCCCCAGAACTGACCCCTGGGGCACTCCAGTTGATACTGGCTACCAACTAGACATCAAGCCATTGATTACTACTCTCTGAGCCCAATGCTCCAGCTAGTTGTCTCTCCACCTTACAGTCCATTCATCCAGTCCATGCTTCCTTACTTGTTCGTGAGAATGGGAGACTGTATCAAAAGCCATGCTAAAATCAAGGTACACCACATCCATTGGTCTCCCTGCATCTACAGAGCCAGTCACCTCATCATAGAAGGCAATCAGGTTGGCCAGGCGTGACTTGTCCTTGGCAAATATATGCTGACTGTTCCTAATTACCTTTTCCTCCTCCAAGTGCTTAGAAATGGATTCCTTAAGGATCTTCTCCATGATTTTTCCAGAGACTGAGGTGAGACTGACTGGTCTGTAATTCCCTGGATCTTTCTTTTTCCCTTTCTTAAATATGAGCACTGTTTGCCCTTTTCCAGTCATCCAGGACCACTCCTGATCATGGTCCACTATGCCCCACAGGTCCTTTTCTGCACTATTGGAGCCTGGCCAGTCATTTATTTTCTAGTCTGTATTTGTATTTGACAGTTCAGTCCTAAATGCATGACTTTACAGTTGTCCTTACTGAACTTAATCTGATGAATTTTGGACCATTTTTTCAGTATCAAAGTAATTCTTAATCCTAATCCTCTGCTCTACAATCTGCAATGCCACCCATCTTGGTTTCATTCAAAATCTTATTCAATGTGTACTCCATTCCATCTTGCAAATCATTAGTGAAGATATTGAACAGTAGCAAATGAGGGAAAGACTTCTGGAGAATCACACTTGCTACTTCTCCCTAACTAGATAGTGAGTCAACTACTTTGAATATAAGGATTCAACCAGTTACATATTCAGTGTACAGTAGTTTCATCTAGACTGTATTTTCCTTAGGTTGATGATAAAAATGTTATGGAGGACAGCATCAGAATGCTAAAGTCAAGGTATATCACATCACTGATCTTCCCCTATCCACAGAGCCTGTCACCTTGCCATAAAAGGAAATCAAGTTGATCAGACATGATTTGCTCTTGATGAATCTATGTTGGTTGTCTCTGATCACCCTGTTCTATTCTAGGTGCTGGGATGAAGATTCCTTGATGACTTGCTTCATGATTTTTCCTGACATCAAGTTCAGACTGACAAATCTGTAATTCCCCAGATCCTCCTCCTTCCCTTCCTTAAATATGGACACTATATTTGGCTTCATCCAGTTTTTGAGGACCTCACCCACCCTCTACAAGTTCTCAAAAATAATAGTCACTCAGTGGCTCTGAAATGACCTCATTTAATTCCTTGGGTGTTCTAGGACGGGACAGCAACCTATAGGACCGGCTGGCCAAAATATTGTTTCTCACTCCATGGTAGGCTGACACTTTTGACTTTGCTGCTTCCACCATTGCTGATTCTCCTGGCTGCCACTATCTGTGTGAATTGCTCCAGAAGCCCCCGCTACTGAATCACTGCTGATATCCGAGCTTCTCAGGCCAGCCCACAGGCCATAGGTTGCCAATCCCTGCTCTAGAATGCAACCCATCCAGGCTTGCAGAGTCAAAAACATCCAGCTTCCTTAAGTAATCTCTAATCGATTCCTCAACTGCTATAGGCTACTTATCTCCTTTCCTATTCTAGCTGACAACTCTGCTTTTGATTTGGTAGTTAACCTTGTTAGGGAAGACTGAAGTAAAAAAGGACACTAAATACTTCAGCATACTCTGTATCATCCATGATTAGATTGCCTTCTACATTTAGTACGGGACCTACAGTTTCTTTGTTCTTTCTATTATTTCTAACACACTAGTAGTATCCTTTTTTGTTGCTTTTACTGGCCCTAGCTAACTGCATTTCAATTCATACCATGGGCTTCCTGGTTTTTTCCCAGCAAGTTCATGAATGGTCCTCCATGGCTAAGTTTCCACTTTTTGTAAGATCCCCTTTTGAGTTTCAACTCACCAAAGAGTTTGCAGTTTGGCCAGACCAGTCTCCTGCTGCACTTGCTATCCTTTTTTTACATCAGGTTTTGTACTGGATTTTGAAAGACCAGAATTTGGCTCACTTCCTGTGGAAGCTATTTTCATGCAAAATGCAAACTGAAAACAGCAGCATTGAACTTAAAGATATAACAGGTATTCAGTGCTTCAGTCATTGCCAAGTGCTTTTGTCATTAGAAAATGGAGGAAAAATGGAAACAGCAAATGTTGCCCTTTATATATCATAAAATGTGTAATTTGAGTTTTGACAAGAAAGTATTATAAAATGTATCCAAGGGACCTTTACTCACTTTTAGACATGCAGGAGAAAGCCAATCACAAAGCATATTGCATGGGAATTTATTACTCCCAAGTGTCACGTTTACATGTGAGCTGGGGCTGCAGCAAGTTGACCTGCAGCAGAGCATCCCTGGCTAGCAGCTGGTCAGCCTGCCAACCCAGGGCTGCTCTGACTTGGCTCTGTGTGTTGCAGAAGGATGGGGCCCAGGAGGGCTTCAGTATGGGGTTAGCCAGTAGGCAGCCCCCATGCTGAAGCACCCTCATGTCCCATCCAACCAGGTCAACATCTACAAGTGCATTGCTGTGCATGAAAAAACACCGCAACAGGATAGTATTTGTACTTACAAATACTAACCTGCTGCAGAGTTCATTGGTTTCTTGCAGCCTAATAGGGCCACATGTGTAGACGCTGACATGTTTACTGCAGAGCTAATTAGGCAACTCCTCAAGAAATATCTTGTATAGATGTGTGCCCACCCTTACCATTACTGATTCATAGGAGCAAAAGAAGACAGAACCAGTATACCTAGGATGATTTTTAATGAAACATTTGACTTTCTCAAAGTATAAATATTTTTTGAGGGGAAGATTACCCAATTTTCTCATATAGTTAAGGGATAACAAAGTTTCAACACAATCAAATATATGCATGTGTTCCAGTTTTGAGATTATACGTCCTCTGCAGTGCCTCACTCTAAAAGTCGTGATGGTTAGATATTGCTCAGATAATGAATATGTAAGAAACCACAATTAACTTAAACAAACTTTTAAACCCAAGAAAATCCTACAGCTCATAAAGCTTATGCAGATTAAATGTTTTCAGACATTGTTTCCTTTATCTCTTTGAAAGAAAATTAAGAAGAGCCAATTCCACCTTGTGTTCCCAAAGCTTGTGTGATTGGCAAGGATAAGGAAGTTTCCCAATATTTAATGGTTTTTAAATGAAGGCTGTTACTGTTCCTATAACATCAACTATATGTATTAATTGGTTTGCAGAGTTCCAGGTTCCAAACCCCAAGATTGTGTTGTCTAAGGCCTAATCCTGCAGACACATATGCATGTAGTTAATTCTGAATGTAGCACTATCAGTGAGATTGCTAACGTAAGTAAAAACAGGCATGCCTTTTAAGTGCCTAAAAGTGTAACAGCTATAAATGAAAGTAAAAGTAACAGTAAACATTTTAAGTTATAAGTGGTAACAATACCACTTTTCTCCTTCAACAGTTTAGTTCACTGGCTTTCAGACTATAGTCTGTGGCCCACAGGTAGTCTATAGAGGATCACAAAGCAAGAGAAATGGCTCCATGGATTGAGTGAAGTAAAAGAATTAAGAGGTAAGCAAGGCACTAAAAGTTACTCACCAAAACCCATCATTGCAGCGTCTAAGTCCTTTTGAATCTAGTCCAACATGTTTGTACTTCTCACTGTTCATAATAAAGGATTTTGTGATTAGTTTCCTCATTCATATATGTGACACTCTTACAGAGCCGGAGACATAGGTACTGATGGCATATGATGCTATGATTAATTCTAGGCTGTCCTTTTAAAAGCTGTTTATTTAATTAGCATTAAGAAGGTTAGAGCCCTGCCAAACACTTGTGATTTTGGTCTACTTTTTCACTAGAACATTTAAATCCTTTGCTAAAATGCATCTAGGAATGTTTGCTGTGACTGACTGAGACTTGCTATGCCAGTAGTTTACCAAATACCATTGATGATATGAAAGACCCAAAGCCAAGTAATATATAGGCTATGGCTTTTTTTTTTTTTACATGCATGACTTAACTAATTTTTAAAACAATGGGATATGAACCATGGAACTTTCTGTGAAGAAAATCAGTTTATGGAAAATAAATAGATTAAAAGGGTAGAATATTGATTAAAAAATAGTATTGAAATAACAAATAAAAAAGGAAAAGAAAAATGGATTTGAAAAAAATTAAAGATGTAGGGGCCACCAAAAGTCAGGAATAGAAAGTTAGTGACAGATGAGGTTGATAAGACAGAAGGCCTAAAGGAATTCTTTGCCCCAGTAATCACAGAAGCAGCAGAAGGTAATATCCCAGGAGCTGGGATGCATTTTCCTGGGGGAAGGAAGTGAAATGTCAAAAGGTTTTACTATTGCACTGCAGTGGATAATAAGGCAATTAGAACTATTACAAGTTGACAAAGTGCCAGGCCTGGAATGGTAAAACATCCTAGAATTCTAAAGAAAATAGAAGAAATTGGAAAGCTTTTGCAGAACATTTTTGATAGCTTACTAAAAATGCCTATTAATCGAAGTTACCAAATGCAAATCGTTCCTGTCAATGTAACAACAGATCTCCATGACATTTAAGTTTCCTTTTCAAAAAATGTCTGAAGTTTTGTTGATTTCAACTGGCTTTCTACATGTATACATTTTTTTAGCAGAAGTTGCTCATTTATAGTCATCTATAAAATTATAATGAATGAACTCTGGTACAAACTAAGTCTCTTAGTTATAGGTGATCATTAGTATTTTTATAAGAATTTTTGGACAAAAGTATACAATTTTTCAGATGATATAGGTCAGTAGTCTTTATGTACACACAGTTTTGCTAGTGCTATAAGTATTTTGAATAGGCACATGATTCTTACACAATAGTTGACTTGATACAAATCCTAATGTCAGCATAGTTATTCCAGTATAAATGTGCCTTATACCACTGTGGTTCCACCCTTGTACTCCATGCAGGGGTGGGAATAAACTTATATCAGTAGAAGCATACAGAGACCCATGGAACTGTGTTTGTATTAGTTCCTAATTCCAGAGGTTAGCAACTTTTAAAAGCAGAGGACCACTTTAGCAGAACTTAGCTCTGAGAAACGGCTTCCTGCAACACAGCCTGTGACACCACTGCAGTAACTGCTCCTTCCATGCACTGCCATCATCACCACCTCTCCCCACAGGTCAATCGCCATGTGAGTGAAGGCCCCTGCTGCCAAGGCCCCCTCAGAAACCTCCAGCTCTGAAGTTTGGATAAAATGACCCAACAAGCTTGATCTGGCCTGCAGGCCATAGGTTGGCATCTCCTGCCTTACACCATTTTC